GAATAGAAATTGACAGGATTAAAATCACTGGTATAAATACAGATGTAACAAGACAATAAAAAACAGACCCTGGCTGGAGATCCTGGCTAGACCCTGACAAGAGGAACCTTGCTATGCTGATCAACTGTCTCTGTGTCATTCCTTCTTTGCCGACTCCGTCTACACCTTTGGGAACCCCTGGACCTGTTGGGGTTGGACCCCAACACCTGGTCTCTCTACTTCTGCCCTGACAATCCATTCTCAGCACAGCAGCCTGAGGGGTCCTGATAAGGTTGAACATGTAATTTACAAGCTTAATACCCTCCAGTGGCTCCTGTTTCACTCCTCCAACTCTCCTCTCACTTATTGGCTTCAGCCCCACTGGCCACCTCACAGCTCCTTGCGTTTGGAATGACCCCAACATCTGCGTGGCTAATTCCCTCATCTGCTTAAGGTTTTGCGCAAAGGTCATGTCTTCAATGAGGGCTCTTCTGACCACCCATGACCGTTTTTCCCCAACCCCCCTCACCTTGCTCTGTTTTCCATAGCACATGCCATCTTCTAAACTGTTGTATAACTTACTTATTAATGCATCTCTGTCTCCCCTCTTAGAATACAGGCCTCGAGGCTGTAGTAATCTTTGTTTCTTTTGTTCACTGCTGTATTCTTGGCACCTAGAACAGTTCCTGGCACATAGTAGGCCCTCAGTAAATATTTGATGAATGAATGACTTGATGATATATGCTACTCTGGGGAGATATCCTAACCAGTTCAGCCCCAAACCAGAGTTCCCACCCCAGGTATAGGCCCTCAAGGCCTGTGTCCTCACTGGGTTCAGCTTCATCTTGAGAACGTTCCCCAGTGATGGGGCAACAGTGACTGGTCAGCCACCATGAAGGAGCCACACCTCTCATTCAGGGGCCCCTTAGTCTTTAAAAAAATATTTATTTATTAAAAAATTTTCAATTATAGCTTATATATATATTTTTAAATATATTTTATTGATTTTCTACAGAGAGGAAGGGAGAGAGATAGAGAGCTAGAAACATCGATGAGAGAGAAACATCGATCAGCTGCCTCCTGCACATCTCCTACTGGGGATGTGCCTGCAACCCCAGGTACATGCCCTTGACCGGAATCGAACCTGGGACCCTTCAGTCCGCAGGCCGACACTCTATTCACTGAGCCAAACCGGTTTCAGCAGCTTATATTTTTTAAAAAAACACACTGTTCTCTTTATTGCAAGCAGTCTTATAATCATCATTAGTTAGTACATGCTTTTTTTTTTTTAATCCTCACCCGAGGATATTTTTTCATTGATTTTTAGGGAGAGTGGAAAAGAGAGGGAAAGACAGAGAGAAACATCGCTGTGAGAGAGACACATTGACTGGTTGCCTCCTGCACGAGCCCTGAACAGGGTCCGTACCAGGGAGGAGCCTGCAACCAAGGTACGTGCCCTTGACAGGAATAGAATCTGCGACCCTTTGGTCTGCAGGCCGATGCTCTATCCACTGAGCCAAACTGGCTAGGGCCAATTATAGCTTACCTTCAACGCTATTTTGTATTAGTTTCAGGTGAACAGCATATGGTTAGACAATCATATACTTTACAAAGTGTTCCCCCTGTTATTTCCAGTAGCTCAACTGGCACCATACACCGTTATTACAATATTACTGACTATATGTCCTATGCTGTACTTTACATTCCCATGACTACTTAGTAACTACCAATCTGTACTTCTCAAACCCTTCATCTTTTTCATCCAGTTCCCAACCTCCCTCCCCTCCCCCTTAGTCTTACTGTGTGGACCCTAGATTCCAGAGGCAACATAACATACAAGGTTTCCTCCTTCCCCAGCCTCAGGCTTCCGACATTAAAGCAGAGAGAGGGACACAAGCTGCATAGGATCTCTGGGTGGAGAGGTCCCTGGCTTCCCTTACCTTTCCATCGAGGGCCTTTTTGGAGAGGAGGTGGCCGAAGAAGACTTGGAATCCACAGAGTCTCTCCTGAAACAAGAGACATCAGAGATGAGACTCTCGCCCAGGCCAGCATCAGTGCTGATCTAGAGAGATCAGAGCTGGGCAGGACGCATCCCGGAGCCACGCCTGCCGGGCTGAGGATGGTAGAGCCCGGCTGGACCACCGCTACCCGGGAGAGGAAGCTCCAGGTGACGGGGCTGCTCACCCTCACCTACCCTCCATCAGTGAGGCCAGATATGTTACATGTGTAATGTCATCTGTTACTAATTACGAATAACTAATTCTCAGCAGGCCCCGCTCTTTGCTGTCAGGCAGGCCGTGGCCAGCTGGAATCCATGGAGACTGGAATTCCTGGGATTGCTTATTCTCAGGAGGAGGGAGAGGTCATCTCCAGCCTCCCCTGCAGGCACCTCAGAGGGAGGAGAGGAGAGGAAGCACGAGGGCCTTGGAGATTGATAGAGTGACAAGTGAGAGAGCAGGACACAAAGTTAAATGTATGCTGTGCCTCAAGTCTTGCCAGAAAATGTATGCTGTGCCTCAAGTCTTGCCAGAAAATGCCTACGGGGGAAAAACACTGAAAGTCAATACATCCAAATGCTAACTATGGTTATATTACGATGATGGGCTTAGAGGTGAAATTTCCCCCAATTTTCCAAAAATGCATGTAGCTACACTCTTTTTTATATAAAATGCATTTTTCCCCTTTTATTGGTTTTGTAAAATTAATGTTTGCAAATTGCAACACCCACTCCCTATCTCACTTACCTCACTCTCTTTTTAATTCCAGCAAAGGTGTCACCTCCTAACAGACTCTAATTTTCTTATTATATGGAGTGTCACCGCCCCCCCCCCCAACATCTAACTTCCACAAGAGCAGAGTTCGGTGGGTTTTGTTCACTGTGGTGGACACTGTCCTTGCTGAGCCCATATCCCCTCGGGCACTCGTCCTCCCAGTGTCCTGGGACACAAGGGCTTTCTCCTGCAAGCTCCCCTGGGTGCAGCCTGCCCACGGGAGTTCTCTGCTCCAGTTAGAACCGCAGGCCAGTAGGCTTCGAGTGCTGGGTGGATACACTCCCCACCTGCCTCGGCCCTCAAGTGGGTCAACTGAGGTGTGTTCTCCACTGTCACACAGAGCGGCCAAACAGGATTTAAGTCCCGGTCACCGAGGCAGTAACCGGCTTACTAACACATCCCTTGCTGGCTTCCTTCCATTCCCTGTCTCACCTCCTCACTCTCTCTGCATTTCCTGAAATAATTTCCCAAGTAAACCCGCTGCACCGAATCCAAGTCTTAGGGTCTGCTTCTGGGAACGCAGTCTAACATGTTCACTGACTCACCCGAGCACATCCACTAGTGCCTGGCACAGAGTAGGCGCTCTACAAATATTTGTGGCTGAAAGTTGTGAAGTCAAACAGGTCAGAAATAAATATAAAAACTAAAAAAGTGGAACAACAAACCTCCCCAGAGTAACAACTATAAAGTTTAATGTCTTTCCTTCCAGGTCTTTTTCTACATGCATACAAACATACATAACATGTGTCATTTCTAAAAGGGAGCCCTAACCGGTTTGGCTCAGTGGATAGAGCATCGGCCTGCGACTGAAGGTCCCAGGTTCGATTCCAGTCAAGGCATGTACCTGGGTTGCAGGCACATCCCCAGTGGGAGT